AAAATACCTCATTTCAGAAATATAGACAGATACATCTAGACATTTCGAATAATGTTCGCCACCCTCTTTCATCAGTTCCATTTTGATGAGGCTAATATGGCGCCGAGGTTTAATGCTGTGTCCAGTTAAAAGAGACTTGAATTCTTTTGACTAAAATTCAGACCCATTGTCACCTCTCAGACTTTTAATTTTTTCCAAAAGGTGCAGTCAGCCAGGAATTGTTCAGTAGCTTCTACTGTATTACATTTATATTTCAGAAAATACATTTTTAAATCCTGAATAATCACTTATCTGTAAAAGTTAAAACATATCTGTATCCATCTCTGCTAGTCGGTTCTACTCCCGCCAGCTAAATTAAAATGTACAAGTTTTAAGGGTAATTTTGCTTTTTCATCGGGCTCTCGTGGTGTGAATTTAGGCATTTTACTACGAGTTCATATTTCACATGGTGACAAAGATGTTTAATTTTTTATCTTCATGCTTTTTACAGAACTTTGTAGCTTTAAAATGTCCAGGATATTAGAGTGACCTAATATTTTATGCCACGTTTTGAGATTACATTTGGCTTGTTCCGCGTGTCCTATTACACATCTATTTAAATAATATAGTCCACCATGTTTATTTATATTAAACTTGACTCTATTTCCGGTGGTTAGTGAAGCTGAGTTCTGTGAAAATTTTATAAGAGTTCCCCTTTCAGAGGTAGCTTATACAGAAAAAATATTCTTATTAAAGCTTTGAACATAGAAAACGTTATTTAAATACATGCTGCCTTCAATGTCTTTCACGGCGTATAAAATTAATTTAACAGTTCCCTTTTTCAGGGTGTTGTGTCGGAAACCTACCACCCCTCTTGAAGATGAACTTGTCTGCGTCTGTGAACAAAGACTTTAAATAGTGGCATGTCAGTTGACATGGGGAAGATAGATAGACAAAGAAGTTCTTAGCTATTGACTACTCAGGCGATTTCTGTACCTTTTTACCAACCTATTAAAACCCTTTTTATTGTTACGTGTTATTTGGCGTTTGTCTCTACTAACCCCAAATCAACATCATAACACAGGGCAATATCATTATTTTTTGATCCGCCCGCTAATTCAATAAAATGTACATCTGGATCGAAATTGTCTTCAAATTTTATAAATTTGCGTTCATCGTTTAAGATATGTGTCGTCGTTCCACAATCAACAGGTAATTCAAAATTAACTGGTTTAATATTTGGATTTACTCTTACCTTGTAATAAAAGCTTGTATTTTCTTTAAACTTGTTAATATTCTCTCTTTTTCTTCTACAAAATTTTGTCTCGTGTGCTTTTGATTCACAAAATTCACACCATCTTCTGTTTTGTAGGCAGGCTTTAGCCATGTCGCCAGTTTTGTTGCGTTTGAAACAGGTATTGACTTGTTTTGGCGGTTTTCATCACAGATTCTTTTCGATATGTGTCTTCACTTTCGTCGAAAGCACATAACGAAGTTTTAAATTCCTTTAGAGTTGGTTGATTGTCCTTTTGTGTTATTACAGTTTTAAATGTATTGAAACTTGGTAGAAGGCCTTTGAGTAGTATCGCTCTCAACAGTGAATCTGAAATTACTTCACTGGAATTTCTTAAGACTGCTGCTGATGCTGCTTTTTCAGTAGGGAGTACGTAATCTGTTAAATCCTCTTATATTTTCGTTATTGTCGATAATTCCACGTATAATGCAATTATTTTAGGTTTTCCTTGGCCCATGTAGTGTTCTCTTAAAATTGGTATCGCTTATTGTCCGTTGTCTTTTGCATGTCTCATCACTAATGTTAAACATCTGCCATAGAGTATTTGAATGTATTCAGCAAAAATGTCTTCATTCTTTTCCTGGTCAATGTCCTCTTTCTGGAGTTCATTTTTTTTAATTTCAACTTGTGTAGGTACCCCCAAAATTTTGCTTTCAACAGTTCGTAATTCGTTTCATTTCCGTCGAATATGTTCCGTGTTTTGGACTCATAACCTGTTGAATTGAGCCCATAGCTTTTTGAGTTGCAGTGGTAAGCCAACAAATTTTAACGACAAAAAGTATGTAGGAAAGAAGAATGGAACGATAGATGTACAACGTAACAGGTTTATTCATCAAAAGTCTATACAAGAGAAAAATATAGGAAGTATAAAATTAACACATTTTTAGAGAGTTCCTTAGAATGGGAGATAACTGTATCCACAGTTTACACAACATAAGGTATTTGTATTCGTTGTGTGTATGGGTAGTAGTTGTCAGCTATAATTCTGAAGTGTTGCTCAGATAATGCCAACATGGCAATGTGCTTCACTTTTTGCAGGGGTGGGTAGTAATTAACTAGTAGTATTTAACTACTGTGTAAGATTGATTGATTCTCACTGGATGTTCTATATTTGTCATTTTCACTGTACTAATCTACTTTTAATAAACTATCAAGCACCTAGAAAATTAACTGAGTAGTGTTGTAACAGGCGACGAAGAAAAAGTGTGATACAGAGATCCGAATGTGCATTGGAATAGAATCTAAGAAAAATAATAAGACATAGGAAGATTTTCTTCCAAGTAAAACAAAAGAAATAGTTTTGAACTGCTATGTCATAACTTTCTTCTGTTTGACAGTGACTGCTGGACAATTTCCTCGGAGATGAAGACTCGAATTGACCGAGATGTGGTTCTAAACTGCTATGTCATATCTGCCTTTCCCAGTTTCAAAGCAAATGAATGTGCTTGGAAAGCAAATGAATGTGCTTGGAATACAAGCAGTAATGCGTACAAATATTTTAACGACAAAAAGTATGTAGGAAAGAAGAATGGAACGATAGATGTACAACGTAACAGGTTTATTCATCAGAAGTCTATACAACAGAAAAATATAGGAAGTATAAAATTAACACATTTTTAGAAAGTTCCTTAGAATGAGAGATAACTGTATCCACAGTTTACACTATCATAAGGTATTTGTATTCGTTGTGTGTATGGGTAGTAGTTGTCAGCTATAATTCTGAAGTGTTGCTCAGATAATGCCAACATTGCAATGTGCTTCAGTTTTCGCAGGGGGTGGGTAGTAATTAACTAGTAGTAATTAACTACTGTGTAAGATTGATTCTCACTGGATGTCCTATATTTGTAATTTTCACAGTACTAATCGACTTTTAATATACTATCAAGCACCTAGAAAATTAACTATCTGAGTAGTGTTGTAACAGACGAAGAAGAAAACATGTGATACAGAGAGCTGAATGTGTTTTGCAATAGAATCTAAGCAAAGTAATAAGACATAGGAAGATTTTGTTCAAAGTAAAACAAAAAAAAATAGTTTTGAACTGCTATGTCATATCTCTTGACAGTGACTGCTGGACAATTTCCTCGGAGATGAAGACTCGAATCGACCGAAATGTGGTTCTGAACTGCTATGTCATATCTGCTTTTTATTATACAGGAAGATCTAATAAAAATAGAAAACTTTCCCAGTTTCAAAGCAAATGAATGTACTTGGAAAGCAAATGAATGTGCTTGGAATACAAGCAGTAATGCATACAAATATTGTCTAACCTGTGTACAAATGATCTAATGGGGTACCTCGATGTGGTGTAATGACTTGTCTCGCTAGATCAGTTACATCTGAGTAGTGAGTCCTCACTGGATGCTCTATACATTCACTCCATACCATCTATGCTACGCGTAGTAAATCGCCATAAGTGGTATAATGGATGGCACGTTTTCTCTTTATACAGGGTGCGATGTATAAATTGTCGTCTAAATTACGCAAAAATGAAAATAACAGTGTCATCTGTTTTTAACAGATATGTTTACCAAAATTACGCAAAAATATCTTGAAATACCAATGTCAATTTATTCAATAAACTCGGCATTGATTTCAACCACAGCTTCCAGACGACATCAGAATCTACTTCAACTCTTCTTCTTCTTTAAGTTGGTGAATGCTTCTATAATCCTTGCCTTCAGTTCATCTTTGGAATTTTGTTGGTCTCTCCCTCAACTCTACCCCCACACATAATAATCACGAGGTTTGTAGTTTGGTAAGTTAAGTAGCCAGAACTGAGGGTTGATGAGGTCGCAGAAATTGTCTGACAGCCATGACTGGTTTTTTCTGCTTGTATGTCATGGTGCAGAGTTCTGTTGCTAGACATAGGGTTTTCTATTAGCCACCCTCTTGATACAGGGTAGCACTGCCTCGTAAAGGCACTTGATGTAGGCCTCCATGTTGAGTCTGAGGCCCTCACCAACAAATTCGAGACTTATTTTCTTATCAGAACAATCAAAGTGAGTTTTCCGAATTGCCGTACCTTCGTAATCACCATTAGACTCCTCCAACTCTTTCCGAACCCTCTGCACTGTCCTCAGATTGACACCCAACCACTCTGAAATGTTCGCATTGTAGCTTTCGGCACAAATGCCAAGCAGTACAGCATGCCGTTTCTAAATTTCTGGCAGAGTGAATTGAGTTATGGTGTTCTTTTTCTCACAGACAAAACCAAAAACAAACAAAGCACATACGCGAAATTAAAAATATAAAATAGCAACAATTTACCCATCGCACACTATAAATTGAAGTACTTATTTATTTCTTTTAATCGGAATTCGCTCAACGAAGTGGCCAAGTAAAAACAGGGCAATACAGAAGAAATTAGTAACCAAAAGTAATGAATGCAAACCAAAAGGTAAAAGTAAATTTGACAGGAAAAAAAGCAAATAAAAATATATGAAAGTAATATTGATTGATTTGCGTTTTTACGGCTTATCACCCTTTTGCGGGTTATTTAAAGCCAGAAAAATATTTTTTTAGATTTTAAGAATTTTTGGAGATAATGGTTTACTGATACACCGCCTACTAATTAACCTATATATGGTGGGGAGAGAGACGGATTCATACCTTTCCCAATGCTACTTGTGCGAAAGATAATATAACAAACACGACTCTAACTGGAACTCGGCTCTCTAATTTCAAATCCCGAACCCTTATCCATACACCACCCGCACACCTAAGGTTACAGCACCCAGTATTCCCAAACGGTCACCAATCTAGGTACTGATTAGGCTCGACGTTGCTTAACTTCGGCGATCGTAAGAGAACCGGTTTTTCAACGGGATATGGATGTAAGCCTGTAAAAGTGAGAAAGAATGAAACAAAAACGTGAAAAACGTTTGTAATTTTGAGAAGTACATTTCTAAAACCTTCCGTATTTATATATTCTACAAATTAGAAGAAATGAACTTTGAGTTTTAAAGACAAATGTTGAACTTTAATATTTAACTTTCCTGAAAGGATATTTTACGCTTTTTGCTTGCTTGATGGAGGCTGTCGAAACATTTCCATTTGAAGAGACTATCCCAGTGATATGATGATGTACTAAACTTAGCATTGATGAACCCGGCACAAGGCCGAAAGTAGAGTACCCAGCAGAGACGGTGCAAGGGTCTCTTGGATCCCCTCCGAATTTGAGATTCCCCCTTGAATCTATAAAACGAGTTCCTCACTCAACTACATCTCAATTTTCATAAGGTAGTATTCATATAAAATACAAATCTTTATTGTAACTTAATTATGTGCAATAATGGGTCATCTATACAAATATAAATGGCAGTTTTCTGCATATGTGTATGTGTTCGGCTAAAACTAAAAAACTACAATAGATATGACGAAGTAAATATGTATTCAGACTCATTATCACCCAAGCCACCTTTTTGTAAAAAAAATTATCATCGTACCATTTGTATTTACAAAGACATTTTAAAATTGAAAATAAGAATACATTCGAAATTTTTAGAATCAAAAAGTAAAAACGAACAGTAATAATTCTTATTCCATATCATTTGTTTCCACTTTTTTAGTCTGCAAAACGCTCTACATGTATGTATTTTTTAAGTTGCCATTTTCTTGAATTTGTTTTCACATCTATAGTAAATAAAAGCGTAACTTAAAAAAAAATGAATATTAAAGCAATAAAGTAAATTTAAAAGAAGAAGAATATTAAATACAATTATTTAACAAAAAGTTTAATATTTACTTATTCAAATATTCGAGTGTGTGCGAGTGTCCGGCTACAAAATAAATATACAAACTCAGTATCACCCTCAAGAGAAAAGCGTAAATTTTTAAAAAAATGTATATTAAAACAAAAAAGTAAATTTAAAAGAAAAATATAATTTTATTAATATTTTTCGTACATCTTATGGAAAATAATGTTTTTTATTCAATCTTTAAAAAATAAACTTCATTATTTTTTTTGTAACTAATATAAAAAGGTAAAATTTCACATTAAACTACGGAAACCAATTGCAATGAAAATTTTCAATCTGCTGCAAATTTGCATGGTTATTTCGAAAATAACAATAAAAGTTTGCGGACGATTACCGTTTAAGTGTTATCGACAATCTTATTTCGGTCTTGTTCACGTCGCGGCTACAGCCCGGTCGGCATTACTGGCTTTGTTTACATACGTTTGCCTCAATAAGTAATGCACAGAAGCTTCACTTGTCTTGATTACTGCGCAATGTGCGAACTTTAATTTAAAATGGGTGCGCGAAATTTAAAAATAACCCAAGACAAAAAGCCTCACTATTCCAAATATATCAGTAAAAATGAAAAAAAAGGGAAAAAAAAAACATAAAATAAAATAAAAATTGCAAGATAAAAAAAAATAAAAATTACAAGATAATAAGATTTTTTTTCTAAAATAAAATTTCTGTAATTCATCTTTGAATATGTTCAGAAAGTTTCCTTAAAATCCGACAATTATTTCATTTTTGCAAGAATTACCAAAAAATTGTGTTTTTCACTAGATAAAAAAAAAACGCGCGTGCCTGAAAGAATACAAAAAAATAATGTTTTACTTTTTTTTAAACGATGTTTCCTTTTTTACGGAAATGATGCATTTATCAACAAAAAATATACGTGCTAAAAAAAAAGATTACAAAAAAAAGCTTCATTGTTTTTAAACCAGGAATAATGTTTTCCTGTTGGGTTATTTTTAAAAATTCGTGCATTAAGCAAAGCTGAGTAATCAAGACGCGTAAGAAGACAAGAAGTTCAGTAAAACGGCCGTTAACGAAGTAAGCTTCCGCGCATTACTATTTTATTAACATTTTTATTAATAATAATTTGAAAAAAAAATTAATGAAGATTTATCTAAGTTTCACAGAAACCATTAATATAGTATTTATGTCAGTGTTTAAATCGAAAAATAAAGTATTTTTTGGAATAAAAATATGGGGATGCTCAGCTCCCTAAAACCCCACCCCACCGAGTGAGGTATTGGTAGTGTGGTATTTTCCTAAATTTAGTTATTTTGTAACAAACCAAAAAAAAACAATGTAGTTTATTTTTTAAAGATTGAATTAAAAAATTATTTTCCATAAGATGCCTGAAAAATATCAATAAATTATCAATAATAAACTATTATTCAGAGATCTTCCAAGCAGCACCGGGTATCCCTGCTAGTATGCAATATAGGAGAACAATTCAACTAGAAAACTGAAAAGAAAAAAAAATGTATATAAATACAAATTAGAATTAGAGACATGTCATAATAGATCATTCCATCTTAAATAAATCAACAATGTTTTGCGGTAATTTTTAACATCAACTTGAGATTTTTCTTGTTAAAAAGTTGAATAATTTTAACACATTTAACCTTATGGATAAAAACTGAATTTTTGTCTTATCGAGACATCGCAAGAGGAAAACAAATTCACGGATTTGGACAAAAAAATACGTCAGAATGACGTCAAACACCGCGAAAACATTTCATCCTTTAATAGACAGTTGTGCTTAGTTTAATTCGTAACGTATATAAATGTTAAGTAGAAAAAAAGCAAATGTTGATCAGGCTTCGTAGGGAGGTTTGTGGGTAGTTCACACAAGGAATGTAGGGTCATAAAACTACTTCATTAAACAAAACAAATATATCTATAATAAAAAAAAGTGAAAAGCTGTCCCCGTTTTGAGGTATGAAATTTAAGTCTATTTACATGAAAAACAAACGAAATAGTATATAAATGAAATTTTGCGTGGGAAAAATATACCTCTGCTAATATGTTCATGAGTTTATTACTGACACAGATGTGTGGTCATACGAAATCTTGATATGCTTCTGAATACATATGCGTATATCAGTCAGTTATGTGCCATGCGTGATGCACGCTTAGGTGATCATGTATCTTTCGATACATAACTGATGAGGCAGATTTTTCCCGCAGTAGGCTGCCATTTCTTTCTGCGGTAGACCAGTTGTCATCGAAGGCTATAGAACCCGGTCTGTCCTGTTATTTATTCATAGCTGGGAGAGAAGAAGAGGAGTCATACCTTTCCCAAATGTATTAGCACGTAAGTGAAGGTAATGGATTCAACAGGAATTCGAACTCGGCTCTCCGATTCCTCAATCTGAGTCACTATCCATTGTAAACATACTCATATTTACTCATATACAGGGGGGGGTGCAAAAGTAGGTATACAGTGAAAAAACAGAAGACACAGAATGTATTACATTGATTATACAAACCTATCAATGGCATAATATTTACTGTATACCTACTTTTGCAGCCCCTTGTATTGTAATTCTTGTCTGCCTATGTCACTGTATACATGAGCGTTTGTAATCATGAATGCGTGTGTCCTGTAATATCTGATTGTATACACGTCCACACATGTGCGTCTTTACCGCCATTTGCTAAATTTAACTGAGCGTAGCCCATTGACACAGGCATGAAACCCGAAATATTAACCAAACTCACTGCAGCAGTAATAGAACATGCGTCTAACTTAGCCACCATCACATCGCGAGGTATTTATGTCTTTAAAGTATAGCTTAGTCTGGCACAAGGCTACTTCTGTCGGACATGTAGTGAAGATATAGCTTACTACAACAAAATGGCGAGTTTACCAACAAATTACATCACGGGGTGCATATGTGTCCTTTTACTGGTATTTACTAAGCCTAGCTAAGTCCGACACAAGGCCACATATGCGGAGAACGCAGTAAAATGTTATGCTAGGCGAGAACGTTAACTATTTACACGTCTGTTATTGGTAAGTACTAAGCTTAGCTGATCTGGTACAAGGCCACATATGCTCCGCGTATGTGGTCTTGTACCAGACTCAGGCAGTGAAATGGTATGTTATGTGAACGAAATGGCATGTTAGGTGAGCATTGAAATTGTATGTTAGGTAAACATGCTATTTACACCATGAGATGCATAATATGCGTCTTTTATTGGTACTTAATAGGCCTGAGTCTGGCACAAGGCCACATATGTGATGCCCCAAATGTGCCTTGAACTCACTGCCGTAGTAATCATTTGTACTAAGCTAAACTTGTTGTGCCTAATTTGCATTTTGATCGCTACATGTGAAAATAAACCTAGCCTGGTACAAGGCCACGAGCAAGACACAAAATAGAACTCACAGTCGTAATTATGTCCAAACTACACGTAATTTTTTAAACACTTTTTATAGCTCTTTCTGTGTATACGTGTGTATATTTGTGTGTGTGTGTGCGTGTGTGTGTAAGTTAGAAAGAGTGAGAGAGACACTGCCATTTGTGGTGTCAGGCAAACGTGGGTACAGGACATGTGCGCTTACATATTTTAAAGCAGGACAATAGTCAGTGTCGACGCAGACGACGAATAAAAGACACATTGTTCTGTTACATTCTCAAGAATCTAAATAAAGTGTTTCCTATTGAATTTTTTTCAAAATTTTATCAATTACTCACAATTGCGATTTGTTTTCATCCTCACTGCTTTGTTGAGAGCCGATTTTAGAAGACATCGAATGTACCAAGTAGTTCTTATCTTGCTTAAGATATGCTTCTGATTTTACCTTCATAAATACCTATATGGGTCTGTTTGTTAAAAAAAAATGTACTGTTCTAAAACAGATATAACTTCTCTCTCTCTCCTCCTCCTCTTTCCCTCTCTCTCTCTCTCTCTCTCTCTCCATATATATATATATATATATATATATACCTAAGTGAACATTGAAGTCAACACTCAGAGGCGACAGTCTGTTTCATGCTAGACGCAATCGTCAGGCGACCCGACGATTGTCTAGCATCAATCATTGTCACCTCTGAATGTTGACTTCAATGTTCACTTTTA